CCCTTTGCTTTTGAATTGAAGCTTGAATAAGTGGAGTGAATTACTCTACAGACCACACCTGAGGTCAAGGATGACAGACATTCCCACTTATAATAGAAATCTAGGAAGGACTGAAATATAGCAAGCAAGACAGTTCAAGAAAGATTTTTTTCCTCCAAACTATTAACTCCATTATGTTAGTAAAAGAACTTCATTTACTTAGAATTAAGAACTTAAAAAGCTTCGTAGAATAAACACCAAATTATGATAAAATGTCACCCTAAACAGAAATTTATAAATTTCATAAAGCACCAGAGTACATTTTGTTACATCATTCTTCTTTTATCTGCCTAATGTGTTTGAGGTTTTCAGAAAATGTCATTATGATACTAAAGCATAGAAAAATGTACTAAGAGATTTGATTGAAGCATCTGTGGACTTGCATGCTTTCTAGCATGCTTTCAAACACTGGTTGGAGTGTAAGCTCTCTGTAGCTCAAAGTAACCAGAAATACATTAGACCCTACCACTCTCACCTCAGGGGGAAGAGGGAAATTTGTACATCTGATCAGTAGCCTTAGTTTCTTCCTTCTAAAACTTTGTAGAATTTACAAAATTAAATTGTTTGTTTACAAATTTAAATTTCCCTCTTGCATATATTCCCTTAACGTTTAATAATATTTTCTGACAATGGTGTATCATAATGATTTTGTAATCTTGATGACATTGGCCATACCTTTAAACATGAAATAATATGATCCCCAGAAAATATTAATAAAATTAATGAGGGACCAAACCAGTATCCTTTGTACATTCTTGCACAATTACAGCATCAAAAAACAAAACAAAGTAGGAAAAAGTAAAATATTCGTACTTACACAGGGGCAAGGCTTCACAGCATCGCTCGGAAAAAATCCAACCTCTCCAGATGCTAAATTTCTACCCTAAATTAGAGGGGGGAAAAGCCAGTGTTGAGAACACACTTAACACAAATGATCACCCCATAATGGTCTGTACATGGCGGTGCTACTCGGGATCCTCAGGACTGCTTCCACTTGGAATCCAGTCCTAAGTGTTAGCGTGCTGTGGCTTGGGGAGGGGAGCATGAGCAGAGGGTTTATAGCTGTTACTTACACACAGCTTCCGGTCACAATAATAGTGAGAATTCAAGTTCAACTCTCCAGTCCACCACTCAGTTTTGTTAACTGCACACCCCTCAATTCCATATAGAGATAACAGCATTCTGTGTCTTTCAGTTTTATCATCATTCACACAAGTAGATCACACCGGTTTTGTGCAAGCCCAGAACTGACTAGGAATTTGATTTAAATGGTTACTACTGGTGCCCCTAACAGAACCCCTGAGAACGTTCCTCCAGCAGGACGAGACATTGCAAGACAGGTGGCAGCGGAACACAGCGTGTTACGACGTTTTAGCAATGATGCTCAGATTCAGGAGAAAAAAATAGGATAATGACTAAAGGAAGACGACATCTTGTCAGAGGAAAGGCTTTTAACGCAAAATGGCATTGTAAATGAGGCGAGGAGGAGGAAATTAACGGTAAGAAAACCTAAGCACAAAATGGACCAAAAAATACTTAGTCAGGTTCCTCTTTAAACCAAGCTCATGACACAACT